CCCATATGTATTTGTGGTCATACATTTGAGATCAAGAGGACTTTAAAAAACAACTCTTTTGGTTTCAATTATCTCCAATCCATTATAAATGTTGCCATTTATCAAGTAGAAAAACCAATGCAACTTTTATTTGAAAATCCTCTTTCATGCATAAAACTCTTTCTTAACCAATGAGCCTTATGTGCCATCTATAATCCTCAAATAAATCTCATGCATACATGCACATTGTGAGGGGACCTTAGCATCACAAATCATCCACAATATGAGAATACAATTCTTGACTTCATTATCTTGGCATTTTGGAAAGCACAAAAGGATAAGATATGAGACACGAATTTCCATAAGGACTAGTCAATCATACGGCGCATACATCCCATTTGGAATTCATCTCATAAATTTTCATGTCACAACTAGCCTATAAGAATAACCATTCCACTTTCCACACAATGCTCACATAATTCATATAAATATGCTATTTACTTGAATTGACCATATTCAATGCTTTAGTACTTGAATCAAAGATCTAGAAACAAGACACCATCCCTTACATCATTATCTCATACAAAGAGTACACGCAAGTTCTTAAATATCAGATTATGGGTGTATTGTGCCTTTTCAAGTTTGTAGCTTATGTGGCTCATCTTTGCTTTCTAATAATAATAATAATCATATGCCATGCCAAGATAATCCACCAAATAATAATCATAAGAAATCATGAAGTTGAGTTTGTTTCTCTTAAAGCAATAAATCTCCATAATAATAGCGTCATGCATAGTAAGGTAAGAAAATTATGCCTTACGGTCGTCCTATGGCGACCATCTTGTGGAGTGTCAAGCCTTGCTCTCAATTCGTGATTTCCTTTAATCATTTCTTTCTTTTTTTTATCACTGTGCTCATCATCTAATCCATCCTTTTGTGTCTTTGGCCTTGTTGAGAGCATCATCATCACTTTCCGGAAACTTATTTGTAATGGATGTTCAAATCCATTACAAATACTCAATTAGTATGTTCTAGCTCACGGTTATGAACTAGAAACATCTCAGAAAAATCAGGGATATTGGCTCAAGAAATCGGTGAATCAAATCAAAGTAAACTATCTCAATTTGCTTAAGAATCAAGCAATTGAGCATAGTTTAAGTAGGAATCAAATAGATGATGAAGAGATCAAAGGATGAACAAATTAGATCATGAATAACAGCTGGAATCATAGTAGAGTAGCAGAGAATTAGATGAATTACATCAAGGAAAAAGGCAGGCTTACTCAACTATGAAAGTCTCTTGTCATCAATTGAGCCATGGAGCCTTGAACACCATTAAGGGACCTTGAAATTGGATTGAGAAGAGGCTGATCTTGAAGAATATGATCTTTTAGAGAGAGAGAGAGCTTGGACGTCCCACACTTTGACAAATGAGATAGAGATTTGGGCGTTGTACTTGGAGAGAAAACCACTTCCTTAAATGAGCTCATGAGGGGGGATTTATAGGCATTTTGAGGCACATGGGATGCTATGCTTCTAAGTGTTTAATCTAGGCCCACTATGTCTTCAACCAAAGGCTATAAAGAGAGGCTTGATCCTAGCGCACCATCCACCGTCAACCATCTTAATGTGTGGCATGGATTTAACACCCTTATCCTCCTTTAAATTCACTCCAATTTCCCTTGTGATGAAAATGCCCAAACTCTTTAATTAATTAAAACCATATGACCATGATGAGGGACATGCCCTTGTGATCATTTGTACAAAATTGTTTGAAAAAATGACACATGAGAACAGTTCCCTGGGACCCACACTGGACATCCAAATGGCCAATGGGTGTCCACATGCCATCAGTGTTTCAAAAAATGCTAGGCGGCACCTAGACTGTCGAGGGGGTCCAAGCCGCCCAGCTCCTAAGAGGCCGCCCAAAACTTGGGCAGCCCAATAGAAATTTTTATTTTTTGGGTTTTTCTCTCTCTAAAATAGGCTCTCATGGGTTTTAGGTTTCAAATGAACCTAAAACCCACAATTTTGCACCTTTTGTATTAAAAAAATGACCCTAAAATATCCTCAACGAGGGGCATTTCCTCCCCTGGACAGGGCGCAAGCCCTGGGCGGCTGCTTAGGCGGGTTTCCGGGCGCCTAGGTGGACGTCCAGGGATATCTGCTTTTTTTGGGCACCTCGCCCAGGTCCCCCAAGACCGCCTAGGCAGCTGCCCAAGCGCTGGGCGGTCCGCTTTTTGAAACACTGCATGTCATCCTTGGGGGCTCCACGCATTCCCACGTGGTAGTGATGTCAATCTCAAAGAGGGACATCCTTTTGTAATTTATGTGCTTTGTCCATTATTACTTGTATTTTGGTATTTCCAATAAATAATTTTATTTGCATTTGTTTTTTGGCACATATTACATGCCTTACGCAAGTGGCTTGGTGCACGTGTGTGACCTTCTAGAAGGGATATAGGGTTTGAAATGTTAATACTAACCCAAATGGCATATGGTCATTATGCACTCAACCACTTACCTTATGTGGTATAATTTCATTGAACTCACATGCTCATGGATTTTAGAGGGAACTTTAGAATATTCATTTTGCTAGAAATTTGGACAAATGACCATAACGACATACGTCTTATCATGGTCATATGGTTTTAATTACTCAAAGAGTATAGGCATTGTCATCACAAGGGAAATTTGAGTGAATTTAAAGGAGGATAAGGGTGTTAAATCCATGTCACATATCAAGATGGTTGTTAGTGAATGGTGATCAAACCCCCTCTTTGTAGCCTTTAGTTGAAGATATGGAGGGCCTAGATTCAACACCTAGAAGCATCTCATCCCATGTGCCTCAAAATGCCTATAAATACCCCCCTTATCAGCTCATTTAAGGAAATGGTTTTCTCTCTAAAAGCACCACGACCAAATCTTTCACACTTCTCAAAGTGTGGGACTTCCAAGCTCTCTCTCTCTCTCTCTCTCTAAAAGATCATCTTCTTCCTTAAAGAAGATCAGCCTCTTCTCAATCGAATTTCAAGGTCCATTAATGGTGTTCAAGGCTCCATGGCTCTATTGATGACAAGAGACCTTCATTGTTGAGTAAGCATTCCTTCTTCCTTGTTGTAACTCATCTAATTCTCTGCTACCCTACTGTAATTCCAACTACTATTCCTGATCTTATTTGTTCATCCTTTGATCTCTTGATCATCCATTTGATTCCTTGATCTCTTGATCATCCATTTGATTCCTACTTAAAATATGCTCAAGTGTGCTTGATTCCTAAACAAACTGAGATAGTTTACTTTGATTTGATATTTTGATTTACCAATTTCTTTACCCTATTTCTCTGATTTTTCTAAGATGTTTCTAGTTCATAACAGTGAGCTAGAACATCCTAATTGAGCCTTGGCGAGTTGATTTATAAGGGGAAACTATGCTGAAATTTCCTAAGCTCTTATGTGCTTGATTCATGAGAAAATTGAGATAGTTTCCATTTATTTGATTCATTTGTTTTCAAAGCTCATCCTCTGATTTCTCTGAGCCATTTCTTTCTCACTACAGTGAGTTAGATTAGTCCAATTGAGAATTGAAAAGTTTGTTTTGCAAAGGAGAGACTATGTCCAAGTTTTGAGAGCAATCGAGAGAAGGCTACATCTGGTTTTGAGTTTTATGCTCCCGCATCACTCCCACGATATTCCACTTATGAGATCTGTATATTTTGATAAATACTTCTATATTTTATGAGTGTATCAGTAGATGCTTGGCTTCCCATTTTGTGATGATGAATTGGCCCTCGATTATGAGACTTGCCATCGCATGTCTCCCATTGGCACATAGCCAAGACCCTTGGCGATAAACTGGGCACCCAAGAGCTCCGAATGGCTTCCCATGGTCTTGATCCACTTTATACTTGATCATATGCATATTGTTGTCATGGAGATCATGTTATGATAAATTTTGTATAATTTAGCTATGCAAGTTTGAATGGTGCTGAATTTTTTAATGCATATTATACTTGTGCAGTTTGATGATCTCGCTTTACAACTTGTTTTGTTCATGTGCAAGGGAACCCATTAGATTTGTATCCTCCTTTTAAAGTGTATTTTGAAGCCATTATGTCATTGTGGAATTAGTGACCTTGCTGTAATTTGACTTTAAAAGTTGTAATTCAAAAGTTTTGTTGAAATTTTAAAGTTGTAATGGATTTTTTTTTCAACATATTTGTAAGCATATTGGTTTCTATGCACTTTCAAGTAGTATCAGAGCCAAGCTCTAAGAGGGTCCTGCGCTAGCGCGCACGTAGGCGCGAAGACAAGCAAGAAAAGGGATGCGCTAACGTGCCAAAGTAAAATTGCCAAAGTTTTTGAAAGATGATAGTTCTAATGGAATAAGGATCATGACTGGAAATTTTCAGAACTGATCACTATATTTGACACAGTGATAGGACCTTTAAATCTTGATATAATAGTATGATCTTCTGTGATGATTTTTGGTTTTGAATGTAGTTTCATGTGGAAAAAGTCCCACGGCCTTGTTGCACACCACACTTGAGCAATCACATGTGTGTGTAATTGGTTTTTTATTTTGTTATATTTCCGCGTCATATTTGATGTATAATTTGGCATTTTAAATTTGGATGTTGCTGAAGTTTTCAAGTATGTGTCACACGTGTAGTTTTGAGTTGTATCCGTGGAGATGGACTTGCTGATGTAAAATGGACTCAAATAGAGTTGTATCCTCATTTTAAAGTGTATTTTGAAACTTTTTGTCTCTGTAATTGCAGTAACCTTGCTGTAAATTTCATTTGAAGGGTTGTATTTGAGTTGTATTGTTGAAATTTTGAATTTACATAGTCTAGTTTTGCACCCTTTGTACTCCATTTTACTTGTTTTGATTTCTTATATACTAACAATTGCAACCATCAACCACTAATCAATCATGCTCAAAACATGATTCCTATGCACTGAATCTCACCCACACATGCACTCATGAAATTTTAAAATAGACTTTATGGGGGAATTTCAGGGCTGATGGAGATTATGGAGCGGCAAAGGTGATGCTGAGACCTGCTTCACCCGGTACTGGTGTCATTGCAGGGGGTTCAGTACGTATCGTGTTGGAAATGGCGGGTGTGGAGAATGCATTGGGGAAGCAACTTGGCAGTAATAATGCACTCAATAATGCAAGGGCTACTCTTGTCGCAGTCTCTAATATGAGGCAATTCCGGGATGTTGCTCGTGAGCGTGGGATCCCAATGGAAGAGCTCTGGAAGTAATCGACCCTTGCTGTGTTTAGATCCGCGGGGTGTTTTGCCATGAATTTTTGTAACTTGAGAACTTGGAAAGCTTGGAATTATGATTTGGTTGTTCCTTCTGTATTTTGTTTTTGAGTTTCAATGCAGAAAGAATGCTTAATTTGCTTCCAAAAAAGCATTTCTCAGTTATATTATCCCCATATACACTCCTTAAATAAGTGAACGAACACACGCACCCACTGATTATGTGATTGTGTTTGTGTGAATATTCATTGTTTCCTATGTTCATTTTGTATATGTATCAGAAATATATCTCTATGATTCATAAATGACATACTGCTAGCTTACATGATTTCTGCAGTGTTAACTGTAATATTTAAGAATTTGGACATGCAAGTTTTAGTTCATTGCTTGTGGTTGCTACCTTCGTGGATTTTAGAACAGTCTGTGCTGATCACTATGCTTGTCCCAGAGTCTCATCTCACTTCCTATATATATGCATCTCGCTTCTGCAGTCCTCATAGTTCCCCAGCCTGCTACTGCTTTCTACAAAACACTAAATTTGGCGTTAGGAGCTTTTGTCATTTTCAAATACTTCTGTGATAATTTTGGCGGACCCTTTGAGCATTTCTCAAAGCTAGTAAAATCTTGAGGGTTTAGGTCTAGTTTCAGCGTTTTAGGAATGTCAAATTAAATACATAAGAAAATACAAGGAAATTTGAGGCACGAGATGATCTCACTTCTTTTGACATATAAAATGCCCCTGAATCAGAGAAGTTTTTGTGATGTAATTGGTCCTAGTGAGTACGCTTCTAGGATATAATTAGTCTGGAAAAAAAATATCTCTAAGTTGCACTTTGGATGATCTTCTAAAATTGCAGTTCCTCGTTGATTTTGGTGGCCAAATGGGTAGGAATTTTGATAAGCTTTGATTTGACACTAATTTCGTTATAAACTGATATGGAAATTTCAGGAAAATTGGTGTTCGAAGTTTTTGATCTAGATACTTGAATCCAAAACTGGAAGCTTGGGGCCAAAAGTTGCCACACTGAACACATTTTTTTAATCAAGCAAATATATAAATGTGGCCAAGTACAGAAAAAACTGCAAAAATGGAATTGTATATTGTGAGACCATTTAACTATTGTTATAAGGTCACAAAAACTCCAAGCCACCGATTTCAAATTAGGCAGCTCGAGATGTGTTACGAAGTTCGAGAAATTTTTTTGAATTTTGAACTTAGTCAATGATACACAGCCAATCGATTTGAAATCTGACGGACAATGGATTGTGTACTCTTTGTACAAAAAGTACACTGTTTATTTGTATACTTTTTAAATAATGTGTGCTCACTGTCGTATACTCCGCATGCGCCACAAAGTCAGAATATTTTCCAAACAAACCATAGAAATCATGATTATTTTGATGTATAGGAATTACATAAAACTATATCAGCGTTCTCCTCTTATGATACACTAAACCTTTGCTCGGTTTCTTGATATGATGATCTCATTGTGTTCTTGATGTTTGACAGCAAAACAAATCAACAGTGATTATGATTGATTATGCAAATGAAAAATATAGTATCCACAATATGTACCGCTTGGGTGTGATGAATCCGTGTCAAAGAGGCCCATCCAAAATCCCAAAAATTCTTGACTTCCTCTCCCTCTTTCTCTCTCTGTTACTAAGATTTCTTCTCCTCTTTGAAGTAAACAGTGCCTATCTTTTATCTCTTCCCTAAAAATTTCTTCTCTCGAGATTTTTTGTGAATGATCGTCAAAAACTCTCTCCCTCTAGAATTATCTCAATAAATGAGAGAAGAAAATCTCGTTGTCCGATTTTGTGTATCACCTAGAGGAATGGCAAACCTTTTTTTTTGTAAGTCGGCCAAAAGAATATGGACAGGTGACGGCTCAATTATTTTTTCAACCCTAGAACAGACCAAATCATGTATTAAAGAAAGGGAAATGAAATCAGATGGGCGAGCACGTCAAATGGTAACTTCCTCTTTTTTAGAACATCAACAACCATGTTGGCATCACAAAAAGGGATTACAGCGTTTATGAATAACATTAATAAGTAAGGTTGAGTCACTTTCGATCTGAATAGAGAAGCGTTGTAACTGAGAAAGATCTGAACCAGGAAGCACTGTAACTGATCAGCTAGGATATTAGAAACAGTTCCAAAGGGTTCGGCAAATGCTCCAATAAAAGCACCATCACAATCCCTAATAACACCACCACCACCTGCTCGGCCTGAATTATGCAAAGAAATACCATGGATGTAAAGCTTAATTCCATCTGAAGTGTAAGTTATCAATGATAACTCTTGCTGACAAATAAAATACCTAGGATTTAGCATCAACTAGCTCCCGAACATGAGAAATGATCTGAATAACCAATGCTCCCTTTTAATTAACCTATCTTTGAAACTCTCCGGTTGCAGTATTTGATGATAAATGGATCAGCCGAGAGTTGTTTTTTTTAGGTAGTCAAGAAAAGAAAAATAATGACGATGCTCAATCGAATTTGATACAGAGAACAAAGTCAAGGGAGAAAGATAATGATGATGCACAATGAACTTTGATGCAGAGAACAAAGTCGAGAGAGAAAAATAATGACGACGCAAAATGGACTTTGATATAGAGAACAAAGTGGAGAGAAAAGAATGGAGAGAATAAGAGATAGAAGTTTTGAGAGGTGAGATTATGGTGCTCTTTGATGTAGAGAAGAAAACAATGACGATGCACATTGGAGGGGGAAAAAAAATTAATGAATATGAGAGAGAAACAGTATTAGTTGGCTAAAGAAAAGTATGCAAGATCAACCACTACGTATGGAGAGAGAGATAGGATAGAGGAATGACTTCAAGGTGGAGGGTTGAGAGGATCGACTTTTCTTTCATACTGAGAAGAAATTTGAGAGAGAGGAATTTTTTGAGAAAATAATTATGTCCCCCATCATTTTTGTGTTGGTTCTTTCATTGTATATGTAACTGTAATACAATGGTCCAATATACATTTTTCTATCTTATTAAATGCAATATACCATTTCCTATCTTGTTATATTCTCCTTTCAAAAGAAAAGAACAATACACTTTCCTATCTTGTTTGAATTTTCCTTTCAAAAGACAAACACTTTCCTATCTTGTTTGAATTTTGTTTTTATTACGAAGATCCTTTACCAAAAAAGTAATTGGTGTAAATAGGAAGGAACAATTAAATTAGCCAATAAATTAAAATACAGAAATGACATTTTTTTAAAATTTAGGAATAAGAAAAACATTAAGCATTTTTAGAGAACCCATAAACGAAGCAACAGAAGCAATATATCTTGTTATATTCTCCTTTCAAAAGAAAAGAACAATACACTTTCCTATCTTGTTTGAATTTTGTTTTTATTACGAAGATCCTTCACCAAAAGAGTAATTGTTGTAAATAGGAAGCAACAATAAAATTGGTCAATAAATTAAAATACAAAAATAACATTTTTCTAAAATTTAGGGATAAGAAAAATATTAGGCATTTTTAGAGAACCCATGGACGAAGCAACAGAGGCAATATCAATATGTGAGATGGGAATTGAGGAACCATCACCCGTAATAATAAGACATGAATCATTATAGAGAATAACATCAACAAGCATACATGAATCATCAGCTACATAATTTATAGCTCCAGTGTTCATAATCCAACTTATCTCATAGAGTGTGGTGAGATAAATAGACCCGAGAGAGTGAGTCAAAAGTATTAGGGCTGTCTTGAGAGTTCTATTGAAAATAGCGATAATAGCACTGAGAAGCAAGATGTTTTATATATATGACCACTTATTTGATGGGATTCAACACCGGTTCTATTCATCGAAGTGTTGGTGATATTGGTAAAAGTCTTCTTCCTCAATTTACATAGTGTAGTGGACCACCTTGAGCACCACTAAGATTGCCACAACCTAGTCCTCTTCCTCTTCCACGACCTCATCATTTTCCTCTCCCTTTGAGCATTTGAAAGAATGCATAGAGAACTTCATGTGTGGGTCCAGATGCAGTAATTGAGTCACTGCATCCCATAGGTGAAAGATTGAAGATTAAGTAACAACTCGTGTTCAAATAAGAAAGGACGGAGAGATATATATAACAAAAGACATAGTTGAACCATAACTGAAGTAACAAATAATTTGTATTCCTCACCATACCACGTAACACAACGAACTTTTTTCTTGTCATCAACTGGATGTTGTATAATTGCCAGCTGATCAAAAAAAGATTTCATCTTATTTTAATACTTTGAATAGATCGTGCCCCACGTGTACAATTTTGATGCTTGGTGCGAATGTGCATCAATCGCACATCAGATTGTTGTGCATAGGGAAGGGTAGACCCGAGATCTTTTGCGGTGGCAATATCAAGAACTTGTGCCAGAATATCAGAGAGGAGAAACTTAGGGGGCTCCGGTGTAGAACTATCAAGATGTCCCATGATTCCTTGACCTCTTGCAATATGAATAATTTGGACTTTTCATCGTAGAAAGTTGTCATTGGATAGCCACGAGTTGAGAAGAATGTTCAAAAATTGGATAGATGAAGACATGATAAAAACAATAGAGAGAAAAAAAAAGTTGGATTGAGTAGCTTTTTAGAGACTTTCAATATAAGAAGCTTATTTTTAGAGAGAAAAAAACAGACTAAGAGAGACTCTCACAGTGAGGAGTTGATAAAGATGAAACTTTCAATGTTATGAGCTTTTTAAAGAGAGCAAGAAACAGGACAAGAGAGGAAACATCCTCTCTTCTCTTTCGTTTTTTTTTTTTTTTTTTTGTTTGGAACTTGGATGATTTTAGAAAAAGAATTTTTTTAAGAACAAAAAGTATGAGGGACTTTGGAATTTAGAGAGAGAAAGATAGATAGTAAGAGATACACATCAGACTTTAGAAAGAGAGTTAAAAAAAGTCCCTTTTTTTTATGGAAAAAGTTTATATAAGGATACAACCTTATAATGTAGAACTACGGATGCACCTCAAAAATCCATCGGAAATGGTAGTTTTAATGTTGAAAACCCTGATAATCCTAAGAACATTTTACATCAAAATTATATACCAAAATAAAATTTGAAGGTGCACCTTACCTCTACACCTATGGATGCATCCGTATGCCAACTGTACTTTTTTTTTATTTTTATAGAGGTTGGAATCAAGAAAAAAAATAAAAAAAGTTGATATGCTAAAGAAAGAGGTGGTAGGTGACAGACGATGGTGATTATGCTAAGAGACTAGTAGAAAGACACATTAACTTTGAAGAGGTAGAGACTTACACTTTTTTTTTTTTTTATAGAGGTTGGAATCAAGAAAAAAATAAAAAAAGTTGATATGCTAAGGAAAGAGGTGGTAGGTGACATACGATGGTGATTATGCTAAGAGAATAGTAGAAAGACACATTAACTTTGAAGAGGTAGAGACTTAAAGAAAGAGGTGTGGGTGAGTTGGTGGCAACGCTTTCTTTTTTATAGAGAAATGTGACTTTGAAGAGGCGAGACTTACTTAAAGAAAGAAGAGTTGGTGGCAAGGCTCTCTGTTTTAGAGAGAAATGTGACTTTGTAGAGGCAGAGACTTACTTAAAGAAAGAGGTGTGGGTGAGTTGGTGGCAAGGCTCTCTTTCTTAGAGAGAATGTGGACAACAAGACATATGGAAGAGGAAGGGACATACTTGAAGAAATAGTTATGGGTGATTTATTGGGCCATGCTCTGATACTATGAAGAAGTTTAGAGGACACAATATTTGAGTAAAGTTCTCTATATCTATAGCTAGGGCTGTGGGTTCTATTTATTATATTTATATACTCAACATATTTGGTAAGAATCTTTGATTGACTCATTCAATGATTTGATTACAGCAACAGATGTGAAAGGAGGTTATCATATGAAGAGATTACTATATATTATGAGAATCATTTCCAAGATTGCATCTTTCTAGATCATTCCTATTACTTTCAAACTCCAGCTACCCAAACGGTGTAGGATATTCAAGGAGAAAGCACCTTAATACTTCCATTGAAGGACAATTCTAGTGCTAGGCATTATCCTTGATTTTCTGTAGGGGAAAAGTTCAAATGCAATTCTTCCTTTCAAAAACTCGTCTGGATTAAGAATCTCAAAGACATCGTAATTCACTCTAAACACTTTTTTGCTCAAGTTTTACTATCCGCAAAGTAGTACATGACTAAAAACTGTAGGGTTCTCGTGAACCCCTAGCTTGCAGAACTGAAAATCTTAAACACCGGGATCCCACCTAGGATCATGTACATGATTGACTAAATATGAAGTAGATGAATACAACTATAAATCGAGTGCGAGAAATAAAACAGACATAAAAAGCACACCACAGCAACACACGATTTACGTGGTTCATCCTGTAGGGCTACATCCACGGCCTCGACAATTAGAAATCCACTATTAGTAAAGGACCAACACAATGAAAAATACAGTTTTGGGTTACAAGAGATAATGCATATCTCTAAACATCAATAAAGGACCATCACCGATCTTCCCTTCTAAACCCGCTCTCCTGACTGAGGAACACCGTCGATTAACATCATCTTTCCCATCTCAATACCGCTACTGGAAAGATAACTTTGATAACAACAACGATTTTCTCTCTCTAAAAGTGAAAGTTAACCAACCTAAAACTCATGGGAATACCGCCTCTCTCTTAGAGGCCATGTCTCTCTCTCTTGGAAGCCCATCTCCATATTGGTGATCCATTCCTATAACCCCCAAACAGGTGACGTTCAAAAGGATGGATAGTACGTACTCATTCACTCTCTTATAAAGGCCTCACTTTCTTGCTTCCCAAAAAAGTCAATTTCTTATTTCCTATAATACCGTAATCTTTAGGAAAAAATATATGAGATTCCATACCTTAAAGGGCCAAATATGTTAAAAATTAGCAAGGTGTTTGGAACATCAGACCGGTGTACCACCTTGTTAATTTTAACAAATTTTGGTCATCCATTTATTTAACATATTTAAATATTATGAGGACAAACATTTCAAAAAAATAAGCATAAATCTTGTTTAGTTGTCCATCCAAATGGGGCCTTGCTTTTTATTTGATCTACGACAATACTCTCCTAGTTGCTTTTCATATTACTTTAAATAAGGTGCATCAACCCTTGTCCTTACAATTGTCTAATGCCATATCCATTATTGTAAGTCTAGTACCAAGAGAAGGTCGAGTGAGAGTGGGTAAGGGCAAGATGCTATCGGAAATAGCAGTCGCTGTACATCAAAAGCCATGTCTAAATATTTATCTAAGGTCCATGGCCCGGTGAGAGAGCCAGCAGTCACTGTACATTAAAAGCCATGTCTAAATATTTATCTAAAGGCCATGGCCCGGCGACGGAGCCAGCGCCGGAAACCCTACTGGTGCAACAATGGAGGCCCCATTGTTGCCACCTTCGCAATGAAACGCAACGCAATCGACAGGGTGTCGACCGAATGCTTCGCATTCGCTTTTCCTCCTCTGTCTCGGTCTCTCTGGCAAACAATTTTGAGTATCGTTGAATGAAGTCAGATTCTGACAAACATTCGCCTCTTCGAAGAAGTAATTGTCAGAAGCTGTGAAGTTCTCCAGCACCGGCAACATGCACACCGCGTCTAGCAGAGGTCCGGTCAACATGTTATGTGCCACATTGAGCTGCTCCAGCTTGGCCAGCCCGGCAATGCTATAAGGGAGGTGACCCACCAGTCGGTTCGAACTCACATCCAACACTTTCAGCTTATACAGCCAACCGACCGCCTCCGGCAAGCATCCAGTCAGGTTCGCATTGATGAGCACCAATTCCTCCAAACTCTCTGCTAGTTTGCTTATGCTCTCTGGAATGCACCCGCCGAAGTTATTGTTGGCAAAGACAATCACTGAGGCCGTAGAAGCACCTATATTCGAAGGAATCACCGAGGTAAATCTGTTGTTGTTGACAAAAATCGCATCGAGCCTTGTCTGGAGAAGTGCAGGGGGAAGCATTCCCTCAAATTCATTGAAACGAATGTCGAGATATCTGAGAGAGGGGAGGTTGAGGAGGTGAGAGGGGAACGGGCCACCAAAACGATTGTTGCTGAGGTCAAGCTCGAAGAGGAGAGGGAGGTGACCGAATTCGAGGGGTACAAGCCCGGCGAAGCGGTTGGAGTTGAGGTGGATGAGGGCCAAGTCAGAGAGGAGAGCAAGATGAGGGGAGAGGACACCAGCTATGTCGGCAAAGTTGAGATCAATTCCGGCAACCGTTAAAATGTCGGGATCGTCAGGTGCAGGGGCACAAAAGATGCCGGTGTAGTTGCATACATTGGGGCCGGACCATGTGGAGGTGATGTTAGAAGGGTCCGAGTAGAAGAGAAGCCTCCATGCTTGGAGCGCTATGTATGCTCGGCGCAGGCGCGGGTTGGCCATGCTGGTGGCATTAGTGGTGGCATGGTGGTGGTGGTAGTGGTGTTTCGAGTCCGAGGGCCAAAATATTAAGAGGAGGGAGAGAAGGAGGGTTGTGAGATGGATTCCTTTAAGAGCTGCCATTGACAACGTTGCTTGGCAGGTGGCGGGGAAGTCCTCTTATAATCTCTCTCACCTTTCATGTGATATTTTATTTTCTTTTCATGTAATATCTTTGCTCATACACTACACCAAATAAACATAACAAAATATTATTTGCAATTGTATGCTATGGAATCATTTATCTTTAGAAAATGTATACAATGGGGACTGGGTGTCTTTAGAAAATGGGACTGGAACTGCACACTCTATGCTGGACGGATTTTTTTTTTTTTTTTGGAGGTTTGGCACAAAAATTTGTCAGACCGCAAAAAATTTAGACCTGACAAAAAATATGTCAGTACTCACAAATTCTAGTAGCTTTTCCCCTGCCCATAATGCGGTCCGACAAAGAGTGCACCGAACTGTATAAAAAAATGGAGAGAGAGAGTGAGGGAGGATAAAGAGAGAAACAAGTAGAGAGAAAGGGAGAGGATGGGTGGAGAGAGAAAAAAGAGAGATAAAAAGGAAAGAAAGATGAAAATGACAATTTTGTTTCAAAACTCATTGACTTTTTGATTGGAAGATAAATGTAAAGAAAAATAGTATTTGGGTTTAAGGTATAATACAAAAAGTATTGGAAGATAAGATGTGTGGAAAGTTATTTTTTAAAGATATTTATAATTTTCTCTTAATAATAAATGGTCTCTTTGTATATTTTTTCATAATATTTATAATAAACAAAATTGATTTGAATACCCCTGCATGCTAAAAGTTCATGTCTTCGATTAAAATCTACTCGCATGCACCTCCAAATCCTCCTAAAATATGATGTTCCAGTGCCAAAAACATTTTGATGGCCTAAAAGCCCATTTTGACACCCAATTGGTGAAATTTAAAGCTCCATAAATGCTGCAAAACCAACATAGCCATAACACTTAGACATTTTGAATAGAGATTGTTTAAATAATGTATTACAGGAGCACTATTTTAGGACTTAAAATCTTTTTTTTCATATTCATAGATATCAAGGTCAAAATGATCGATTTTATATTTTTTTGATGTCAAAAGAACCTGTTCGAGTGAATTTATGAGGTGCATTTAACTATGTATGGTTGTGACCTTAAAAATTTTTATTTTATATTCAAGGTTTGGAGCCAATATTCCTTGGTATTGGATTCCCTCCTTTCATTTTTCATTCTCTCCACCAAGTTAGTATGTGCTTTCAACCAATTGAGGAAAAAAACTAAAACGAAAAGGTGAAAGAACAAGAAAAAAATTTTATGAGAAGTATCTCTATTTTTTAATAAATTTCTAAATACTTAAATTTTTAGAGAAATATATCTATATTGATTCTTTAACTTTCTATAATTTTTTTATCAAAAATTCCCTTCAAAGTTCTATTAAAACCATGGTGGTCGAAGACCCACACCTTAAATTGTTTTATAGACCATCATGGTACTAATATAAACAAGGGAAAGGTTTCTATGCTTCCCCTACGGTATAGAAGTTCTATCCTCCCCTAACCATCCAACCATTCAATTTTGATCAAGAGAGCCACTCACCGTTTGATCTTAGATCCGATATCTCAAAGCATTTTTTTTTTATACAAATTGTATGAATATGAAATTTGGTACGTGTTATCTTCTCATTGGGACGCACCTATAAAAATATATTAAAAATAATTTTTCGATAAAATATAATGACCAAATTACTCCTTGAAATTTACAGGGATATTTTGGTCATTTTATTTTATTGAAAATATTTTTTTTATATTTTTTGCTAGTGCGAGTTTAATAGAAGAATGGACGTCCAAAATTTCGTTTCAAAATAGTTTATAAAAATAAAATTAAAAATAAAATAGTATAGAGACGTGACATTGTGGTTGGGGCAATCTTAGCTCTCCATTCAGAATGGACGGTTGGATCAAGGGAAAGATAGAACTTCCATGCTGTATGGGAAGCATAGAAAACTTGCCCATAAAACAAACCACAAAGTTGGGTATTGGAACATCACAATTCTAAAGGCAGTTCTGGTACAAAAATCATAAAAAGGCAAAGAATGGATATAGATATGTAGATTTCAAATAATTTGGGTATTTTCAAATATATTAAAAAAAAAATTTCTGATAATTACCCAAGAAAAAGAAATACACAATGCACCAGACAAGCAATAATATCCATGGAAGAAGTTATCAGGACTGAAGAGATGATCTCTGGAGAGGGACAGCCATGATAGATGATCTATAGAGAGGGATAGCAATGATCAAGACCTCCCTCCTACAAATGAATATCCACAATTAAATTCTTCCATTTTTTTCTTTTTTCTTGTGAATTGCACATTTGGTATGAGAGGCTGGCTCCTAGATTAGTTTGCTTCAAAATATGGAAATTTCATATGGTTTAAGACTTTTTATAGCACTTTGAATGTAACTTGGATTCTATTGTCCCAATGAGGATATGAGTTGACACCATGGCATAAATTTGAAACCTAAGCAAACTCGGAATAGAAATGACATTGAAAATGGAGTCAGCATTTCCTCTTTGTAGAGAGCGGAATAATGGGATTAAAACTTCTTATAAATAAGTGAAGGGCTCAAGAGTCCTCCTTTAAAATTATGTTGAATTTTTTTCAAAATATCTCTTATTAGGGTTGAGAAATCTAGACAACAAAGACTACTTTGGAAATTTGACACACTTAAGTGGCTAAATCCAATTGACAAAAATACTCCTAGTTGTGCAGAGCTGGGAGCTGGAGAACTATCAAATGATGCAAATACCTCCAGTTTTGTATTGCCAAGCCTGAAAATTTGTAGGTACTTATTTTGGTTCGAATTACCAAATTATCCCTTGTCATTCAAGATTCCCAACTCTCAACAAAGGTGATTTGGAGACTTCTGAACAAATTTTTTAAGGATGTGTTTTAATGAAATGAAACTTAAAAAATAACCACAATAGTAAATGGGATCTTTTTTAGCCCCTTTTATATCTTGTAAAGATAATGCAAGTCCTTTAATGATATTTTCCCTTCTGAAAGGGCCATTTTATGAATATTATGCCAAACATAAATGAAGACTGTTGAAAAGTTTAGAGAATGGTAAACACCCCATTTTTTGGCTGAGAAAATTTTAGATAATCGAAAATATTGAAAATCCTGGTAATTTGGCTTCGTCCCTTTCTAGCCAAATCCTAATTTTTGCCTTATCAAAAACGTTATTTTTCTAGCCTAAACCATACTAAGGACCATACATCTGTAATACACTGTAGTTCACCCTATCCATGGTCCATATGTTATTCCCTGCTCCACGTTTCCCGTCTCTCTCTCTCTTTCTCTCCCTTCATTTGTGGCATAGTATTACTCAACCCCCACGTGGCCCCACTCTCTCTCTCCACCCCCTTCTCTTCCCTCCGTTACTCAGTCTTCCTCACTCAAAACTCTCCCTCATTCTCAATCAATATCCCCACGTGGCCCCCCACTCTCTCTCCCTCTACCAGACATCTCCCTCCGTCTCTCCTCATTTCTCTTCTTCCCCTTGATAATTCTCCCTATCTCACTCAAACTCTCTCCCTCATTTTCACTCAGATGCACCCCCTAACACTCCACTATTCCCCCCTCTCTCTCTCTCTTTCATCCCATCATCACTTTCCCTCTTATCAAATCCTAATGATCCTCTCTCACACAACCAATGTTATCAAATTCGTTTTATTTTGGCTGAAATCTTTGGATTTTAAGCCTAAATCGAAATGAAAAGAAGCATGGTCTTGCCGTTTTGGTCATATTCAGACCACTTCAGCTAGATTCGGACCGCTTCGGGTCTAAATCGGCAAAAGCTTCGGACCGCTTCAGACCGTTTCGGCTTGTTTCGGTCTACTTCGGGAAGAAAAATACCCATATACAAATAGTTTTTTATTTTTTATTATTTAATTTTTTTATTATTTTTATATATTATATATATAAATATCTAATTTATTTATATTAAATTAAAAAAATCCGAAGTCTTCCCCCTAATCGACAGAAACATCTAATTGCTTCATTTTTCTCATCAAAATTAATAAAACTCCCAAATGAACGTGACAGCATTGATATCGCCCATTACTCTCCCCCTCTTCCTCTTACACGTGCCTCTCTCTCTTTTTTTCTTCTCTACCTTCAATTGATCTTTTCCCCTTTCCTTAACATGCATGCACTTCTCTTTCTCTCTCTTGTGATTACCAAATCCCAACGCCTCCCTCTACCCTTTCTCCATGTCTTAAACCCATCATGGCACACCCATCCCCGTCTCTCCAAAACTGACACCGCCTCACTCCAATCCATCTCTTGCTCATCTCCAACTACCTCATCCCCATCTCTTAAAACGGGCACCGCCCCTCTTCCTCTCTCTCTAGTTGGAGATTCAAATAATTGAAACCCCAATTGAATCGATCACCAAATATCACACACTCAATACTGAATCGCTAAAATTGATAATTCAAGAATAAGTTCAAAGATCGTGTACAATTATTTAGAAAAAAAATAAATTAGAGATACAAACATAATCATGAGAGAAAATTAGAGAGAGACAAACCACAACACAAATTTAACATGCCTCCCACAGGCAAGCCGGCAAGTAATTCAACTATCAAAAGAGAAATTCACATGAAGATACAATGTTACCTCAATGTAGAAAATTGATGAAAAACATCATTAAAAAATATCTTCTTATGATCACCCAAAAACCACAATTTACCTCGTTTCACTTCGGATGATCCAAAGACATCAGCAATACAAACTCATACACTTTCTCCACTAAAAATAGACAATAAATCACTCTTCGCATCTTTCCCTTTCTCAACACAACCCAAGGAAGCCCTAGCCCTTTCTAGAGAGAGAGAGAGAGAGGAGTTCTAACCAAGAAAGAAAATTTGTATGTGTCTCATATTCCTCTTTTCTAGCTTTTGTACAAGTTATTTAATTTAGTAATAAAAAACCTCAAAACAAATGGGCTAAACAAAAAGCATCTGAAAGGTGATTTTTCTATCGTCATTCAACAATCTCTACATTGATAG